ATGACGCGAAGAAATTATCATTGAGGCACAGGCGGCAGAATATCTCTGTGCTGTACATAGAACGAGCAGGTCCGGAGAACTCGTACACTGAAACTACCAGGGGTTCTACTTATTGTCAGGATGTTCATCATGATTTCTTGCACTTTTCTTCTCTGGAGGGTCACCCAATGACAATGACGGTTTGCAACTGAACTCCTCTATCCACAATGAACAAACGCGGGGATCGCCTTTGAGAATGCCCGTTGCCGCTACAACACCCCTTCATGCAAGACCTACTGAGCCACTGTGATTCAGCATCTGATATGTATGTCAGCAAACTTTCTACAAATACATAGACTAACCTCCTCTTTGCTTTGACTCTGCATGCCACATTCAAGTACAGGACATGCATAAATATGGGTGTCGGCTACGACTTGTCCATTATGTGCAGCTTCATCATCTACATTGTTTTCGACATTTTCTTGGATAACCATTCCCTCTTCTTGCGTATTATTTTTATTATCTTCTTGGTAATGGGTCTAAAACATATACAAATCTAAATTTAATCTGGTTTCTCTGCAGATATTAAGAAACACACGAATTAACTGAACCTTTTCGTGCTGCTTCTTTAATGACAACGATGAAAACGAATGAGAGCAATACGAACACTTGTACGGCAGCTCACCGTGATGACTTCGCAAATGAACCTGAAGCGAACCATCCCATAGTGAATATCACCATGTCACAAAAGATTCCTTGAAGTAGCTGCCTAGGGGCCAGAGCACTTGGAATAGAAATTATATAATCGTTGTCCAACGAGTTGGTTGCACTACTGGGCTAGATACTAGCGCGCAGCAAAACGAATGCTGCACAGCTAGCGCCACACGATTGGAAGATGTCTGCGAGCATTTCAGGAGTTATACAATGCAGCTTCAATGCGGACAGAATGCGCATCGGGGGTACAGCCGTGTATTTTGCGCGAAGGTTGGCACAGTTCGCACAATTGACCGTCGACTGCCTTTGCCCGCAAGACGGTCTAAAGATGCCTCAAATAGCGCCAGCTGAATACGCTACATACTAACTGAGAAATAGTTGGCAACCACCCGGACCAGGCGCTGATTTGGGAGAAAAGGCATCATCTTACCAGAACGGCGTTCAAGAATCTAGTAGCGGGTTCCGGGTTCTTCCTGCAGAATAATGATGACTGGTAATTAATGTCCAGTATAGAAAGGGGTTGAAGCCAAGATTGGAAGGGAGTTGAAGGCGGCCTCAGTCGCCCATTGGCCTTCATGATGTGCACTGCAAGTGCAGGATGGAA